ATTATAGTTGTAGTAATTGGTGCAACTTTTACTCCAAATGCAGCAATAATGACCAAGCGTTCTCTTTGGGTGAAGACAGTAGTAATGTGTTAACACCCCACCCCAGGGCATGTGACCATCTGTGCTTTCCTAGTTGCAACTGACCTTTCAGTATGGACTCCTTGAATTGAAAACTTCATGTGTCTATACAGCTATATGAAGACATCAGTTTACTCCCTCCACCTCGAGAGCCCCTAACCTGAGAAGTGTCTGAAACGTAAGTCCTATTTTAACAAACTCGCGCTTAGAACTTCACCTTAAGTGTTCTATTTCAGCGTCGAGGTCTCGCTACAGTACTTTTCAGATGCACACAAGACAGAAGTGATGGTCGTGTATCTTTCCAAGTTCAAGGGGAAGATTCATTCTCATTTTCCACAATTGGTAAGTGGTGGAGTGAGACCCTTAGTGTAAAAAAAGTCATCTTTGCAATTGCTTGTTACCACGAGGTTGTTACTCAGCATCCCAGAACAAAAGGAAAAAAAAAAAGCAATCGGTCACTCTTGGAAAAGTCGACATGACCCTCCTTTGCAATCCGAACTGAACCACCTTCCAACAGTCCATAGTTGTTCATACTGACATGCGGAATTTTTGCATGAATCAGACCGCTTTTACGATTTCTCTTGGATGACCCGGTTGCAATCACGGATATAAATCAGTTAAAAATTTCGCAGTCTAAGTGTGCCCTCAACCAAATTGGCATGTATCCGTTCTTCAATCAAGTCTTCAAATTCAGTGGTGTAGTTCTACATAATATATCCATTAATATATATTATGTATTTATTTATATATTATGTATTTATAATTTTATATATAATATATTTCTATTAATATTGTCTATTGTTGTATAATTATTATTTATTCTTTGACATATTTTGGTTAGATTCCAATATCTTTGATTTATATAAATAAAATCAATATAATAATAAAAACAAAAAAATACTTTAATAAAGTAATAAAAAATAAAAATATTTTATATTCATTTTATGTATGCTGTATTGAATGCTATAATTATTTGTTTTTCTTTAATTATTTATTTCTTTATCTTTTTTTAGCAAAGTGGGAAATTGCCCAGTCGATCTACTCGCGGACACATCTTGCCAAGGTGGTCGATTCCTAGGAGGGTAGGAATGCAATGAAGTGCAATAATTCAAGCGGGTTATATACTAATTTTACTCATCTTATCATTGTCGGGACTTGATCCCGCAACCTTGCTTTGTCGTGTTTGTCATTTTTCTCTGTTTGTGTTGTTTCTTTGTTTTGAGTTTTGCAGGACTTGATGCAGTGACGTGTAACTCGTGTGTTTTGTTTATGGGACTTGATCCTTGTGTCTATCACGAGTAATCTTTGTTTGGTAGTCTTAGACCATTTCACATTTCCCTTTTGCCTTGTCATAGGGGTACAACGAGGACGTAAGAGGGTCCAGACGGATCTTCCCCTACACTATCAACAACCTGCCATAGACTGTAATAGACAGGCAAACACTTCCGTGAGATGTCGTGTTCATCAGTTAATTTTGACCTTTTTACCCAAACCCAGTGCACAGGACTAATAGGACATGGTTGTCTATGTTTCTTAGCTTGTTCAATCATCCTCTTTTGTGATTTGAACGTGTTAGCTTTAGCCTTCTCTAATCTTCCTCATAGCTCTTGGCAAACTCGGCAGTGCTAGGGGTTAATTTGGGGGCTAAGCCTTATCGACAATGCTATCGAGAGCTTGTTTAGGGTCCCTACCCAGTGCAATCTGAAAGGGATGAAGCCCGTCGCATTATCCACAGAAGCATTGTACATGAGTTGTGCCCTGAACAAATGTTTGTTCCAATCTTGTTGATCTGGTGTGACCACAAGGCACAATAATTGAAACAAGATTTATTTCATCACTTCAGCATGCCCATTGGCTTCAGGATGTCTACCAGATGTCATGTCTAATCGGGAGTGGAGATCATCTTGACAGAAGGATCGTCACTCATCCCTGCAAAAGCGCAGGTCTGTATCACTCACAATAGAGGTTGGGTATCCATGGACACTCACCCACCTCTCAGTGAATACCTCTCTAACAAGAAGCATTCTAGCCTCGGCATGCAGTGGGATGAACTATGCATGCTTAGATAACCGGTCTACGCATAACATTACTTGTCTCATCCCTCGAGGGGTGGTCTTGCCTAGGTCAGTAAAGACTATAGACACAGACACACCTGGATTTTCAAGGATTGATAAACGTTTGAACAGCGTAAGTCTTCAAGGACCTGAAACGACTGACGTTTTTCATTTGTGGACCTTATTCATTTGGCGTCGAGGTCTCGCTACAAATCTTTTGTGGACCTTATTCATTCGGCATAGTTCACATGTCTCTAAGTAGTGGATTATGTCCTCTTTCATTTTTTACCAGTAGAACCGTTGGACCAAAGCAGCATAAGTCTTCAAGGACCTGAAACGACCACATGCTTCATAACTCTCTTAAATCA